GCAGATTACGTTTTTAAATTTTGCACTCGAAGCTGGGATATAGTTGGGTTTATAGAAGTTTGTAATTATAAAATTTGTAAGGCCCTAAAATATCCATTGAAACTGCATCTTATCTATGCGTTTATTAATTTTGCTTTTGAATCATACAACGTCGTCCAGCTTCCCCTGCAAACTTTGATGAGCCCTATCTGTCATGGAGAAATGCCTAAGTTCCCTTTACGGGTATCCATGTTGTCTTTAGTATTTGATATTGAAGTTGCAAATTCAAAAGAGGCCTTTGGTCTGCGCCTAAGTAGTTACCTCCTTCGAGGTTCGGTGAGTGAAATGCAGAAAGTCCTCCTGTTAAACGGTGCTTCCAAAATAATTGTAGATTTCGGAAGGATCGGCGTTGCTTTTCACCGGCCCGCGCCAGCTGCTTTTTTTGTTTTTACCGAAGTGGTTCATGTACTATCTACTCACAAATCTATACTCCAATTCTACACAGGTCCTTTTCACCTGCCTGAAACGCAACCTCGTGAAGGAGATCAAGGTTGCCCAACTCTCCGGCTCAGTCGCCGAGATGTCCTCCTACCACCACGGCGAGGCCTCCCTCATGGGCACTATTATTGGTCTGGCGCAGGACTTTGTTGGTGAGTACGCCTCCTCCTCCCCCCCCCCATCAAGTCGCCTTTACAGTTGCTGTATAACAGCAACTGTGTCCAGAGCGGCTGGCTGCTTACAGGGACAGAATACGGATGTCTCCTTTCGGAGCTTTTTTTTCCCAAGGACAGGAAAGAGACCAAAAAGATGTTATTATAACTTCTGACGTGTTACCTTTGTCGGGCGTCCATACTGCATAGAGAAACCGAAGGGACTTGAGAGTTGACCTCGGGTGTTTATCCAGTTGTGGAGCTGTGTTCTCTGCATATTGAGCCGCACCTTTACTGTATCAACCTAGTACTTTTTAAACAAGCGTGGTTTCCACACTGGAATGCGGGCATCCTGGCATGACTGAAATATCTTGGGACTATCTTGCCCGATAGATAACGCTACTGACCCACCCGAGGTTTACTTTCTCATCGAAAACAACTTTCCTAGGGTGGGCCAAATATTGTAAGTTTGCCTAGCATACTGTTTTTTTTTGAGTTCTAACTCCAAGGTCGTGCGTAGAATGTTTTCTAACCAACAGCAATTATTTTGCTGGTGAATGACGTTTATAGATCAGTCTTTCTTACGGTGATAGAATGGAGATGTCTCCTTTAAGAGCTGTTTTTTTTTCACAGGGACGGTTGTGTATCGTTGAAGGGAGACCCGAGAAGATGATATGACAACTTCTGACGTGTTTACTTTGTCGGGCGTCCATACTCCAGATAGAGACTGAAAAGACTTGAGAGCTGACCTTGGTTTTATCTATTCCTGGAGCTGTATCCTCTAAAAATTGAGCCACACGTATTTGCTCTTGCAACTGCGGTCGGGGTTATTGTAGGTTGTGAAGACGTGAATTTCCCCTGCTTGAATCACTTGCGAAAGTAAAAGATGGCGTAGCTACCGTCTACCTTCTCGATCTGCGTTTCAGGTATGGATGGCGTAGCATGGTAAGCGAACCACAACTGACCACTACGCCTTCCGGTACTTCGACGAGTCCCCAGTTACGAACATATGAGCCCAGGCGCCCATTCATTTAGTAGGGTCCTGACCCTCGGTACCTAACTCGTAATTCAACTAAGTTTGACGTTTTCGTAACCAAGATGGCGTATTTTTACCAGGTATTAACCAAGTATTTGTCGGACGAGAACCCATCCTGCAAATGCACTTTTGTGAAGATTGCTGCTTTTTCCGCATATTTCTAGCTCGATAGGTCGTGTTTTGATATCAAAAAATAGCACCTCAGCTCATTGGCGATACCAAATGACACCAGTCAATGCGGTAG